TTGACATAGAATGTATGATATTGAGTTGGAGAAATTACAAGGAATTATCTACATTCGTTAGAAAATATAATTAATGAGCATATCTCTCAAGTTTTGTAAACGTCATATTCATCTTGCAACTTAAATGAATTTAACTTATCGATTGTCGATGCTCGAATGGGTCGTGGGTGATCATACTCGTGTTTATAAATAAAACGACACACGTGTTGTTTAACAACACTTTTGTCATTATGATGATTTCTCTAATATTTTACTTCGTTTTCACCATGACAACCTCAAGTATTGGATTCCCTAACTTAAGAAAGTCAAAAAAAGTTAGTTATGTGATAAATATTGGTAAAATTGATGTAGATTGTATGATATTGAGTTGGAGAAATCACAAGGCATTATCTGCATTCGTTAGAAAATATAATTAATGAGCATATCTCTCAAATTTTGTAAACTTCATGTCTATCTTGCAACTTAAATGAATTCAATTTATCAATTATCGATGCTCGAACGGGTCGTGGGTGCTCATACTCGTGTTTATAAATAGAACGGCACACATGTTGTTTAACGGCACTTTTGTCGTTATGTTGATTTCTCCAATATTTGACTTCGTTTTCACCAAAACAACTTTAAGCATTGCACTCCCCAACTTAAGAAAGCCGAAAAGGTTAGTTATGTGACAAATATTGGTAAAATTAACGTAGATTGTATGATATTGAGTTGGAGAAATCACAAGGTATTATCTACATTCGTTAGAAAATAAAATTAATGATCATCTCTTAAATTTTGTAAACGTCATGTCCATCTTGTAACTTAAATGAGCTCAGTTCATCGATTATCGATGTTCGGATAGATCGTGGGTGCTTATACTCATGTTTATAGATTAAACGGCACACATGTTGTTTAACGACACTTGTGCCGTTATGATGATTTCTCCAATATTTTGCTTCTTTTTTCCGTAACAATATCAAGCATTAGACCCCCTAACTTAAAAAAGTCAGAATGTTGATTATGTGACAAATAACGATAGAATTGACAGAGATTATATGATATCGAGTTGGTGAAATCACAAATCATTATCTACATTCGTTAAAAAATTATAATTAATTCACATATCTCTCAAATTTTGTAAACAGCATGTCCATCTTGTAAATTAAATGAGTTCAGCTTATCGATTATTGGGACTCGGATGGGTCGTGGCTATTTATATTCTTGCTTATAGATAGAACGGCACAAGTGTCGTAAACACAAGTGGCATTTTACGGCACTTGTGCCGTTATGTATGATGATTTCTCCAATATTTTGCTTCTTTTTCCACCATAACAATCTCAACAATTGGACCCTCGAACTTAAGAAAGTCCAAAATATTAGTTATGTAATAAATATCAGTAGAATTGTTATAAGCTATATGATATCGAGTCGGTGATATCACAAGTCGTGGTCTATATTTGTTAATAAATATAATTAATGAGCATCTCTTCCAAACTTATAAATGGCATGTCCATATTGCCATATAAATGAGTTCAACTTATCGATTATCAGGATTCGGACGGGTCGTGCCTACTTATTCTTTTGTTTATAAAGAGAACAGCACAAGTGTCGTCTAATGGCACTTATGACGTTTTGTTGATTTCTTCAATACTTTGCTTCGTTTTCACCGCAACGATCACATGTATTGGATCCTCTAACTTCTCTTTGTGCTGTCATCATGAACGAGTTTGTGTATCATTAAAACGTCACTTGTGTAACTGAAATGAGCAATCTCTCAACTTTTAGAAACGACATGTTCATTTTGCAACTAAAACGAATATAACTTATTGATTCTCGGGGTATGGATGAGTCGTAGCTATGTATACTCGTGTTTATAGACAGAACGACACAAGTGTCGTTTAATAGCTATTGTGCCGCTCTGTTGATTTTTCAAATATTTTGCTTCTTTTCCAACTCAATGACCTCAAACATTGAATCCTATAACTTAAAAAAGTCAAAAATTTTGATCACGTGATGAATAATTGAATTGATATAGATTATATAATATCGAGTCGGTAAAACTGCAAGTCAATGTATTGATATGTTAGAAATATAATTAATGAGCACATCTATCAACTTTTGTAAATGACATATTCATCTTGCAATAGAAAGGAATTTAACTTATTGGTTTTCGAGATCTGGATGGGTTGTGGCTGCTTACACTCGTGCTTATAGACAGAAAGGTACAAATGACGTTTTCTTTACAAGTACGACACAAATGACGCTCTCCTGGATAAGCTATATTTCAATAACGACACTTGTATCGTTCTTTTAGAACTTTTTATTTCAGTAACGGCACAAGTGTCGTTTTTAATAACTTTTTCATTCTCTAAACAGCATTTGTGCTGTTCTCTTAGAACTTTTCATCTCAGTAACGATAAAGTGTCATTTTCAATGACCTTTTATCCTCAAGCATTGGATCCCTAAAGTACGCAAGAAAAGCAGCTCACGTGACAAAAAACGGTTGAAATAACATAGATTATTTGATATAACGTTAACAAAAGCACAAGTGATTCTATTATTTTCAACAAAATACAAGTAATAAGCATATTTCTCAATTCTTTTTAAATGTCATGTCAACCTTACAACTTAAATAAGTTCAACTTATTATTTCTCAAGATATGGAAGAGTTGTTGCTACTTCAACTCGTGTTCATAGATAGAACGACACAAATGTCGTTTTATAATCAGTAATGACACTTGAGCTATTTTGTTGATTTCTCCTTTATTTTCATTTGTTTCCAATGCAACAAGCTTTAGAATTGAACATCCTAAAATGTGCCATTTTCATTTAACTAAAAAACATTAACAAACATGTATGAAAAGTCAACAAAATAACACAAGTGTTGTTATTAATATGAAAACGACCATTGTGCCATTAAGGGTTGTTTGAGCCCCATCTCTTTTCCTTTTTCTTTTAAAACAATAATTTTGTAATAGTTAAACAAAAAAGAATTTTGTAATAGTGTTATGATAGAGAATGTGTGGCTAAAAATAAGAAAAAATTTTGAGTTTGCGTGTAATATTATTTTATTAAAGAACTTGCGGTTAAAATGAGATCAAATTATCGTTTAAGAATTTCTTTTGATGAAAAATGAAATTCAAACAAGACCTATATGTGTAAATACTAGTAAAAGCAGTTACGTCTTATCTATGCCTCAGGAACCAATAGTGGAACTCATTTACATTATTTATGATATTGTCAAACCTTTCTATGTTACATATGTTAGGGAGTCCATTATTAAATGTTGTTTTGTTGAAAAAATCGGATATAAGTGAATTTCAGGATATAGGTGAATTTCAGAACAACACAAGTGTCGTTACTGGACATGAAAACGACACTTGTACTGTTACTTGTATAAATACGAGTATAAGAAGTCATGGTCCATTTGTTCCTTGAAAAATAATGAGCAGAACTTATTTTTATTGTAATATGTACATGACACGTACAAAAGTTGATAGACATGTTCATTAATTTAATCGACGTATATAATTATGATAACTTATACGTTCACTATCTCAAAAATATAAAAGTTATGTCATTTCAATCGTTATTTGTGACTAGTGAATATTTTGTTAATATATACATTAGTGAGTCCATTATTAGAGTCATTTTATTGAAAAAATCAAACTACAGCAAATAACAACTGTAGTGTCGTTTTATTTTAGAGATAATGGCTGGAGTGGTGTTCTATATTTCATATAGGAGTTAGAGTATTATTACATCCAATGGTTGTAGAGAACACAAAAAACACACTAAATACGAAAATAATACGAACTAAATATTATTTAATAATATATTTAATAATAAAAATACAAAATAGATGTGATTTCTAAGAGCATCATTCTCTTTTCTTCAAATTTAAATGATATGAAAATCCAACTCTTGTTCAAATACTAAAAAGATACCCAAAATAAGTGAGAATATAATAAATAACATAATTTTAGGATAGCAAGAATGATGATTGAAGAGAAGAAAATAGGTTATAATTTTGAAGACTTACATTGAAGAAGATGAAAGGGGAAGAAGACGTTATTTTCACCACAAAAAAAAAATTAGGATGGTGGAGAAAACATGAAAAAATTGAAAGATATTAAGTTTACAACTAAATGATAATTTTGTCATTTTGCCAATTAAAATATTTTATAATTTTCTATTTATTTTTATTATTGGTCAAAGATCATTTATCCAAAAACATTCTCTAGTTAGCCTAATGGCCCAAATTCCCCGCTAGAGGGAAATCAGTGGAGAGACCACATAAACTTGGTCCATGTGCTTGGAGGCCTCGTACCATGATGCTCAGAAGTGTAGAATGATCGGAGAGCCATTCCCAATGGTTTGATCAGGCTCAGCCTTCGATTTCACCTCCTTCACCGCTCGTTCTCTGTTGCTTGCCATTTTTTCTACGAGATTCTACTGGCTTTTGCTACTCCAAGCGAAAGAAAAAAAACAATAGGAGGATTTATTCGAGAGGGAATTTGGCATTGGTGTTATTAACAATGCCCCTACTCTTCCCTTTTCATCAATTCCTTGCAATTGCATATTCAGAACTAGTATTGATAGTGGTCACGCGGTGAGACGACTCTGCTATTAGAGAGAGAGAGAGAGGGCGGCTCACCTCCGCCGTGCCGTGGAAGCAACTACGCAACGATCGTCGCTGTGGTGGACTCCAAGGACTGTACCGAGAAAGGAAGAGAAGAAGATAGAGAAGGTTGAGGAGAGAGAGAGATTAATTTAAGTGGGTTGGTGGTTGTGTTGGCTGGGGTGGATATATAAAACGTTTTATATTTTTAAACCCGTATTAATTAATTTAATAATTTTTAATTACCACCCGACTTGTAAAATGAAAGTTTAATTCCCTTTATTTCTAAAAGCTTGTCATTAAAGGTATGTTTCTAGCTAATTTTCTCAAACAAAATTCCATAGAAGTAAAAGAGGAGAAAAATTAAAAAGTTTAAGAAAAATGCTATTTGCTTCTGAAAAATGTTACAAAGATTATTTCTTGACACCGTTTGGTTACAAACCTTTTTCAAGATTGAGTCACCTCAATTTTCTATCTCCATTAGTGATTCATTAGTTCAAAATCATTGTTACATTTGTTACGAGGTCGAAGAAGATTTAAAGAAAATAAGTGAAAATGGATAAAATAGCTCACTACCCAAATAGAAACATTTAAGGAATTCGAGGCTAGCAAAAGCTTCAATAGCTTTGATGGTAACCTCCCCTGTTAAATTGTACTTGTGCTAAATGCCCTTGCATTCCATCTCTTGCATATTGCTGCCATGCTATCTGCTCTTCTACTAACAATCTCTGCTTCTTTTCCATCTCAGACATTTGCACATATGGTGGTGGTGCTATGGCAAGCGAGGCCGCAAAAGGGTCGTTATTCGAGGACGACTGGGTGGCACCACCATCGGCCGATGGTGGTGCTGGTAGTGCCAGCATGGATGGCCTCCCTGCTGATCCTAGAGCAACACTACTTGCACTTCCTGTGGTTATAAGTCCTGAAGAAGCTGCTGCTTGTGCTGTTTCTCCCTGTTTATACATACCATCAAGCATCAATGTATCAAAACCTCCCGGCAGGGTTGGATTCTGATTAGACAGGTGGCTGGCGGATTGAACCAGGGCTGTTTCCCAATTATCACCAGATTCTTTAAAGGCTTCCCATGGGGGAATTGTACTTGTTGGAGCTGCAGATGTGGAGAGATTGCCATCAAATAAAGCTAAAGCCAATTCATTTTCTCGATTCTCAGTGGCAGCTCCTGTATCTTCACCTAAGTTCAACAAATTACCTACTTCTTGAGTTTTTAGTGCTTCATTTTTCGGCTCCTCCACTTCTTCTTTCTTTTCCTCTTCTTCAGTTTCTTCGGGAAATCCTTGTGGTGGTGGCAATGCTTTGATTGCATTCATGTCTTCTTCTTCTTCTAGTTCCGGCTTCTTAGGTTTTTCTTCAACAGGTTCGGGTTTCGCCTCCATAGCCCTACTCTTCTGAGACATCATAGATTTTTCTCTGATAAACTCATCCATGACATCGAGTTTCTTTTGTGTGATTTTCTCAACATCGGGATATTCAGAAGAACGTGCTATTCCCACTGTCTTACACCAACCATAGAATGAGTCGAGCTCATCGTACTGCTTTGAAACACGACAGAAGATTTCAAAAACTCTTACAGAATCTGAAATATCAAGCTCCATGAACCGATCAATCAAGATCTCCAGCATTTCTGATATATCATAATAAAGATGGAAACTCTGTTTAACTATAGGATAGAGAGCTATGGTGACAACCCTGTTATGTTTCGCTTGACCTGCATTTTTCAAGTTCAATACGTATAGGGCATTTTATAGGAAATAAAGACTGAATTTAAATAATAAATAAATATATTGTACAAACCCGTTGGCCTGCATGCTAAGAACCTCTCAAGAAGTTGTATAAGATGATGACCCATAGAGAAAACTCGTTCATTAGTCATTTCCCTCGCGGGAGTGCCCCTTACAACAGTGGCTTTGGACCCAACTTCCGGATCTTCATCCTCTTCTTGATGTGCATATGCACTATGTTTCCCCCTGCGCCCTTGGATCCCAAATTCAAGCTGTTCATCCAAATACAATGCGTAGGTCCGCACAAATGCTGAATAATCCCACGAATTCGATTTCGAGGTATCACGAAAATCAGACATGTTGAGGAGGCGAGTGCCGCGTCTGGTGGCAAAAAAAATCTCTTTTTCGTACGCAGGATCGCCCTCGGCCAGCAGCCTCTGAATCAGCATCAGTGATTTCAGAGCCACAACCCAGTTTCTGGTTTTGTTGAGGCGCCTGGATATGGTGCTAACGCAGGACGCAACGTGCGCTCGCGAGTAGCACGTTAGGCTAAGGATTTCGCGGATATGCCTCTCCTCGGCCGGGTACTCTTCGTGCCTAGTGGCCTTCACAATGGCCACATCGAGGTCGGATAAGGAGGCGCTGCTGCCAACTTTGGCTAGGCTAATGCTCGTCTGATCCTTCACGGCCCCAATGGCCTTTCTAAGCTTGCTCGGAGCCATGAATATGCGAATATATTGTCAACCTGAAACGGTTGTAAGCTAAAATTAATCAATTTTTTTAGAAATACAGAAAAAATCAATACTCTTCTACGTTCATTCATTCATGCATTTGGAATCTATATTTCTTTCATGTAAGGTCGTTGGAAATAAGAATCAATAGGTGCACCTGGACGTCCTAATTAGATTGAAAACTTTTGAGAACGGCTTGGAAATTACGTATGTAAAATTTGTGTTGGCCTAATTGATGAAACTAAAATGTATATTACTGTATTTGCAGGAAGAGAATAACAAGAACGGAAAATAAAAGGAAAATAGAGAAGAAAAACAAATATTCTCTCCTCCAATTCCTCTCTCACACTTTGTTTGGTAGTCCCCATTTTCTTTTAATTTCGTATTATGAAAAGTTGTCCTTTATTTTAGCAAGAAACACGGTTGACCGATGGAAGTCAATGGTAGGTATCAATACTAAAGTTCGTATATATAGAATTATAGATAAATGGTACGCCAGTCCCGGAGATGCATACAAGAGTTTTCGTAAACAGAGTTTAATAAAAGTTGATAAAAATTGTGAGTTTCATATAATGTGAGATGCATACAAGAGTTTTCGTAAACAGAGTTTAATAAAAGTTGATAAAAATTGTGAGTTTCATATAATGTGAGGTTAAAATTGAAGTTTGATTTGTTGAAAAGTAAATAAAACTTTGGCAACACATTATTAACAAGCACGTAATAAGTTTTGTAGTGACAAATTGTTTGATCTGAATCACTTTATTCTTTTTAATCACATTATTTGTGTTGTCATCTTGTAATTTCACCACAACCAAATTTTTGATATCGTCGTCAAAAACTATTTAGCAAACATCGATACCATTAATTCTAACTTTTTTCAATTTGTACCTAACTATAATTTTGTTACCTTCCTTATACGCATTCAATACGGGTTACAATTGACAACTCATTACGTTATAAATTATTGTGTTACTAAGGCTCTTTAACTCAATTATTTGTCCTCTTCAGTGAGGTTGCAAGAATTATTAATATTTAATTTTTCTTATTTAAATTGAGCAGCATTAATAAAAATAGTATCTAAGCATTAATGTTAATAAAATCGAACTGTGAAAATATTTCTCGAAATCGCAGATTTTTTACTTTTTTTTCTAAAATCTTGTCTAATAATGTCAAAGTGTCGACCTATCGAACATGCCACGAGACCAGACCATTGTCATAATTTATCAATTAAATGCTGAACATACACGCCTGATTTCTCCATTCGAGCCTTTCAATACACCAATCTTGCCCATTTTCACCATTGCTTTTGCAAAATCTGCCTCAAATGATGGTCCAGCAAAGGGACCAAAGAGCCCGAAATACGAGTCCACAACTGTTTTTGTTGCAGCATCTTCGTAAAGCCTGGCATCAGTTTGTAGCACAGCAAATCCACTTCTAATATTCTGTAGAATTTGATTGTCAAAGGTTTGGCCGCTTCCCCGGTCCATAGGTAATCGAGAATTACTATTGCCGCCTTGAGGACATGCCGCTTTTAACTCCGGTAGGAACTCGGGATTTATCGAGGGGTCGGAACCACTACCCTCGAAGAATTCATAAAGCCGTTTGGTCATGAAGAAGCATGCTGTTGTCCCAATTGTATGTGCAGCTGAGAATCGAAGGAGTTAAAACATTGTTACAATTAGCTAGCATTTAAAAAAATAAATAACTAAATAAATAATCACGTTACATAAGTATGCACAAAATAATTGGAGGCTAATTGTTACAACAACCCTGCTGTTTGTATAGCAGGCTTCATACAGAAGCCTGCCAGAACACACATATAGGGGGTTAGTGAGAGTATTTTTTGACAATTTTTTATTCACGATAGGTCCCACATGTGAGAGTAATCTGGCCAAATTTCGTGGAAATTTTTCTGTACAATTATCTCAAAAAATGTTACTGAAACGGTCCACACGTATTAATTAATGCATTAAATTATAAAACATGCCCCCACATAGTGATTAGCTTAAGGTTTTGACAGCAAATTTATAGTCTCATGGTTCAATTACACATTTTATGGGTCTCACAACTTTTATTAATTTTTCAACTGTATCTTGAACTAACTTTTATCAAAATCTGCTAAAAATTTAATTTTTATTCAAATTAAACGGTGTTAAGTGTCACGCATGGCTGAAAACAGAAAATTTGCTCATATCCCTTAAAATGTCTACCGGCTGAGATAAACACAAAATCTGCATGTTTATGTGTGCATGTTTCTTCATGTGGTATGTACACGCCAGAGTGAGGAAGAGACACGAAGATATATATAACCTAATGTTATTTGTATATCACTGTATCTATAATGGAATACAAATAGATGATATGGAAGAGACAGATAGACTATAATAACTTTCTTTTCTTTTTGTCTCTATTTTTCTCCCTCCTTCCATGTCGTCTATGTACAAAATTATATACACAATGATTTAAATAGGATTACTTGTATATATAAAACAGAGAGAGAGAGGTAAAAGAGAGTGCGTGTACAGCTGAGAATCACAAGTTCCTTCTCCGAGAGTCCTTTCTGTAAAAACTTGGCTTTGAGTGTGTCAATGGAGTCTGTAACATCTGGCATATCAGCTGCCAAAGATATATTTGAAACCAGTCCATCTCTTCTGCCGGTCGGAACCTCGTACATCGGCCCATTTGTCTGAATCATTAATGATTCTACATAAATATCAATTCAGAAAAAACACACAGAGCCATGTAAAAATAATAATAATTACCAAAACCACTGCGTCTCTAGCGGCCAAGGCAACTATGTCTGCACAAGAAACAATTCCTGGACACGCCGCTTCCAATTCAGCCTTTGCCCTTGCTATAACATCGGCCCCTCCCACTCCGTCATGCCCAGATGCATGGTTCTCTTCAGTTACGAGGCCAGTGTCTATCAGTATTGACCCATCACACCCCTGGAAAGAAAAGAAAAGAAACCCGTAAATATCAAAAAATACTAATTACTTGCAGAATTTAAGTGAGACTTTGAGAGAGATACGTGAACAAAGCAGTCATGGAAGTGGAGTCTAAGCAAGATGGGTGGAATCCTTGGTTCGGAGGCGGCGGCTTCACTGACGACGCGGCGGACGATGGACTCTGCATTGGGGCAGGTATTGGCATAGAAGCCAACTTGGAGGCTTTGTGAAACCTCAATTAAACAACTCAAAATCAGTATCAGAAGAGGTACCATTTTCTGAATTCTCTAAGTAATCCTAGATTATTATGCTCTTATAATTTGTGAGGAAAAGAACTTGAGAAAAATGATATATATATATATAAATGTGCCACATTTGTGGGGTTTTGTTTCTTTACGTGTGGGGTTGAGGACCGGCCATAGATTATATTTTAGAAAAAGTTACTCAACCACATTGTTTGACACAAAGGTTGACACACCTCTCACAGTCGAGGTGTGGATCCACGCAAATAAAATATTATCGAGCTCCCATGTGTGTGTGATGTGTCAACCCTTGTGTCAATCAATATAGTCATGTAGCACGACCCTATATTTTAAGGTCAGGTAACAAAAATTCGTTGTAAGAATTAAAAATATGCTTCCTTTTTGCAATAAATAGTATTGAATTGTCAAGATTTTAGTGTCGTCCAGTTTATGCTCCAAAAAATACACTGATACACACATGCATCTAATGCGAATTCAATAAAGTTACTATTAATTTTTTGTTTCCTGAAAATTGCAAAAAATAATTGGTTGAATTTATTTTCCTACCTGGTTTATTCACGTATGCATGTGCAAAAGTTGGAAAGGTGTTAAATGGAAGAATCGCAATGGGTCTTCCTTCTATCTATTAATTGCAACTAGAGTAAAACACGCTTTTACATGATCTCTACATTCTATTAAATTTATCTAAATTGGTTTATTTTCTCATTTTCTTTAAAACAATGGGCAATTCATTTTGTAAAACAAGCAGTCTAACACATTACTCCTATAATTATCTCTATATTCTATTAATTGATCAAGATTGACATTTTCCCGCCTAGTCTTGAAAACGATGGACAACTCGTTTTTTAAGACAAATCGTATTGCACTGTACTGCTATCATAATCTTTACATTCTATTAATTTTATCACCATTGAATTATATTTTTCGTTTTCTTGGTATAAGTCCGGACAACGCGTTTTGTAAGATTAGTTGTATAACACTACAACTTTTAAGGAAAAAAGAAGATAATAAAATCTTGACTATTGTACTGTTAGATTCCTCCCGACAAAAATTGGAACCAAGTTGTTAGAGGTGTCGAACTTTAACAGTCAGCATTAAATGGAAGAATCGCAATGTATCCTCTTTCTGCCTATTAATTGCAATTAGAGTTGCACATGTTTTTTATCATTATCCCTACATAGAATAATCTATATTTTCATTCTCGTTATCTTGAAAACTGTGGAACCAATAAGGGCACATCCCGCGATTTACCTCCCTGAGCTACTGAGGGGCCGGAGGTTCAGAGACGAGAATATAGTCTGGAGCAAGCTGGGACACCTCGTTAAAAAAAAAAAAAAAAAAAAAAAAAAAAAAAAGCAAAAAAACACAAAAAAAAAAAAAAAAAAAAAAAAAAAAAAAAAAAAAAAAAAAAAAAAAAAAAAAAAAAAAAAATT